ACCATCTGATCTGGATACGGACTGGATCGGGTGACTGCAGTGACCATCTGATCTGATACAGACTGGATCTGGTGGCAGCGGTGACCTTGGAATAAGAGAGAAACAGACTAATATTAGCGTAGATGCCATTCTTCTAACGATGTAGCAAGTACATCGGGTGTTATGGGAAGTGTTCCCGGTTCCGGTTGACCTAATTAATGCAGCCTAAAAATCCTTTAACGGATTTGAATATTAGAAGCGTATTAGTGTGTTATGTGTAAGCCAAGTGTTCATTCAGATTTTAAAAGTGGTGTGGCGTATTCCAGCCTTTAAACTAAAAATCAACCTGTCTCTGATTTAAACCATATTTGTGTTTTCTCTCATTCGCCAGGTGACGAGACTCCCAGAGAAACCAGCTCATTAATCAGTACAGATCATGATGACAGCATTTACGGCAAGAATATGGCTCTCTATGAGGTAACAAACTGCTTAAAACAAACCCTTTCTTCTTTGTGCATCAGCTATCACTGTTGAGAACTTTATGTTCAAATAAAATACTTCACCTTATTTATATCGTGTCTCTAAATTACGATGCAATGCTGTATGTATTAAATTATTTAGCTCCTCTTTACTCACAGGATGAGATGGACAGCACACCGATGGTATCATCCCTCCTCAACAAACTAGCCAACTACACCAACATAACCCAGGGGGTCATCGAGCACGAGAAGGCGGAGAGTGAGGATGGGATTCAAAGGGTCACCATAAATGTGAGTCTCCAATATGACTGGCACTGAGATGATTAAAAGACTTAAAACACGATTGAAGATGATTAAAACATACATTGAATTCACAGCTTCTGCAGACATTTTGCTGGTATTTGTCCTACAGAACTTAAATGTTTTCATTTTATGTGTCAATCTGTTTGAAGGGCCCTCAGATGGGCACATTTATAGGTGTGTTCCTGCCCTGCATGCAGAACATTCTGGGTGTGATTCTTTTCCTGCGGCTCACATGGATAGTGGGTTCCGCGGGAATCATGGAGGCCCTTGCTATCGTCTTCATGTGCTGTTCTTGCGTGAGTTTTTTCCCCATTTTCAATACAAAAGCACCTTTTTTGACTCACTAACCTAGTTTATTTGTGTATCCAGGTGTGAAAAGACACACACACACACAAAAAAATGTTTTCCAATCAGTTCAATCTAAAAATGCCTTTTTGTCAGTTTTGTCACACAAAGAAATGAAAAACTTGGCATGGCCAAAAGTATGTCAACACTTCCTTATAATTATCAGATTTGGCTCGGATAATTATCGGATTCCAGTGATTCTATAGCATACAGTGACTATAGATAACTATGTGCTTCAGACTTTGTGCAAACAGTTTCAGCATGACAATGCCTCTGTGCACAAATTGAGACCATTTTGAAATGTTTTACCAAGTCAGGTGTGGAAGAATTTTACTAACCTACTCAAAGTACATTTTTTTTTTTTTTATAAAAACATGACTGCAATAAACTAATTTCTATGATAAAAATAAAAATTATTGATGAATTATTAATAATGATTTATATTTTAGAGCTGTCAGAATGGTCAAGACAAATCTGTACACAGAGAAAAGTAGCTGTGAGTAGCAGGAAGCTGACAGTTTGTTGTCAATCACAATGAACAAGAAAAATTGACCATGGATTATTCAATATGGCAAACCTCTGGGGAATCACCAGTTGTAAAAACAACAACAACAACAAATGGTTATTTATTTGTCCATTTGCCTCAAACCACATTCATCCACACATATGTTATACATTTTTAAAAGATACCAGTTTGAACATTAACTTTGGCAGCCCTAAAATATTAAAAGTAAAAGTAAAACTGGAAAGCTCTGCAACATTTAGAACTAAAGGTGAACTCTAACAAAACAAAACAAAAAGTAAATTGAAACAAAAAACACACACAAAAAAATTGCCAATGGAAATAAAAACTTAATAAAAAATTCAAGATAACCAGGCAGCAAGCATATATACAGGCAGGTTTGTCTTTGGGATGGCCATATGAGGTATTCTTGTAGCCTTTTTTGATCATATATTTTACACTCATATTTAACAAAATATTTAGTATTGTAATAATAAAAATAAATAAATCTGCTTTACATCTGTCTTTTCTCTTATCTCTAGACCATGCTGACTGCAATTTCAATGAGTGCCATTGCGACTAATGGTGTAGTGCCTGGTATTATATCAATCTGCTATGTCACTCTTTTATATATTATTTTTTATTATTATTGAATCCATATTTGCTTCAAGTCACTTGATTCTCTTCTCTTCCCACTTTAGCTGGTGGTTCATACTACATGATCTCCAGAGCATTAGGCCCAGAGTTTGGAGGAGCAGTGGGTTTGTGTTTCTACCTGGGCACCACATTTGCAGGTTCTATGTACATACTTGGAACCATGGAAATTTTTTTGGTGAGTCAAAACTTACAGGCCAACATTAACAATTTCTTGCAAACAAATACACTACTCATTCAGCACTACAGAAGAACTTGTGTCAGCACTGAACTAACACGAGTCAGCAGATTCTATAATTAACTTTCTAGACATAACCTCAAAAATCACATTAACTAATGCATCCTCAGTATGATAACAACCCTTTCTCTCTCTCTCTTTCAAACCCTGTTACAGACATACATAATGCCCAATGCAGTTGTGTTTAAAGCAGAGACTGGAGAGCCAAATGGAATGCAAAATAACATGCGCATTTATGGGACATGCTGTTTAGCTATCATGGCTCTGGTAGTATTTGTTGGAGTGAAATATGTCAACAAGCTGGCCTTGGTCTTTCTGTCCTGTGTAATGCTGTCAATTATGGCCATCTATGCAGGAGTCATCCAATCCGCCATCAAGCCTCCCGATTCTCAGTGAGTAGTGGTGTGATTTTTCTATGGTAAAAATTGTATGGATTTTTTTACATGGACATTTAAACTCCACACAGCATAAAACATTATGTTGCGTTCAATTGTACAAATTATTATGTCTCACATTCAAGTCGGACAAACAAAATAATTATATTGTGAACAATAAACCCAAATGACTACATATGAATTCAGAATGATGAAAAACAATTAAAAAGCAGCACAGTGGAGGGCAAAATCTTTCTACTAACAGGAAGCGACGTAACAAAATTCTAAACAATTTGTCCATTTACACTGAATGAAAAAATATATATCTACAGTACACTGAACGCGAGAATGGAGAGCGAAGCAAAATCACAAAACAGCCAATCAGCAGGGGTGCTTTTCCCCAAAAGTGTCATTAGCCAACTTTGGTCGCAAGTTCCATTGAACTCTGTTGGTAACGATGGAACTTGCGACCATAGAACCCCAGAACAGTTCTCACTGTTTGTGCGCGCTCTCTCACGTCGGAAACGCATTGCAGCTGAAGATTGTAAAAAGAACGCGGTACCTTGTCATTCTCATGACGTCAGTGATGTCTGGCTGGACAGGCTTTTATGGTTCTCCTTGTAGAATTTGAGAAATTTCTCAAATTATTTCTGATTCTAAACTTCTACAATCATTCTCCACTACGTCCATGTTTAATATTGATATACACGAGGAGCGGAACTTTGGTCAGTGTGTGCTGGGCTACCTGGCGTGATGTTACAACAAAACTGCTGACAGCTGGACACTTTATTTATTTATTTATTGGTCTAAATAGGGTCTATAAACGCCTATGTCTTAGGATTTGATTAAAATATGCTACCGTTTAATTTACAATGTTTAAATGTTTAAGATATATCTAATGCGATGGAGCATATTGTTTGAACACAATTACAATTATGGTCTCTTTTGTATTTCAACAGAGTCTGTCTGCTAGGCAACCGCACTTTGCAAAATTCTAAGTTTGACAAGTGTCTAAAGACAGAGGTCATCAACAACGTAACCACTCCCACCAAACTATGGACGCTTTTTTGTGAAGGTGATTTAGGAAATGCAACATGCAATGAATACTTCACCCAAAACAATTTAACAGTGATTCAAGCTGTTCCTGGCTTGCTCAGCGGGGTCATATCAGGTAAATACTCAAATAAAATTACACACCAAGCTATACAAATCTCATTTAACTTAATTAGTTGTACACCACCAGATTACATGATGATCAGTGTTGGGGAAAGTTACTTTTAAAAGTAATGCATTACAATATTGCGTTACTCCCTAAAAAAGTAACTAAGATGATAACATTGTTTTGATGCATTTTCACTAAGACTTCAGTTTAGGCAGCTCAGTGTTTTACTAAGAGTTAATGTTTCTCCTATAGATAACATGTGGGCACACTATGGACACGACAAGACAATAGTGGAGAAGGAGGGAAAGAGTTCAGAACAAACTTCGGATAACACCGGTGACATTTCATATTATGTCCTCAATGACATCACTACCTTCTTCACCCTCCTGGTTGGAATCTACTTCCCTTCAGTTACAGGTATTTCAAACCTGTATGACTTTCTTTCTTCGGTAGAAAGGTGAATTTTTTGTAGTACTGGTGGATTTCAATGTAATTAAAATGAATGTGGGATACTGAAAGTAGTAAAAAAAAATAAGTACAACACAGAACAGAAACAGAAAATAGATGTAATGAAGACCAAGTTCTAGTGAAATTCTACAATCCTCTTTAAGTCCATCATTATGTGTGTGTATTGAGTGGCAGTTTCTCTGTGCAGATGATAAGGTTGTAGGGTGTGACGGCGTCTGAAATAGACAGTTTAATTTAGGGTTACAGTGTGTCTCTTCCATGTGTTTATGTAAAAACAGTTATGTTTATGAAGGCCAAAAGCATAAAAAATGTGAGCAGTGTATGCCCTTCACAATGTTACTTGTGCTTCGTATTTTCAGTTTTGTTGTATTTTTGGCTTCAAATTACTAAAAAACAAACTTTTTCTTTTTCTTCACTTACAAATGATAGGATTCATCTGCAGGTTAGGTTTCAGTGGATTGTGAGTAAATATCCACTTCAGTAAGCGCTGTTTTTTTTCTTTTGGTATCACATTTTACAGAGAAGGAAACCTCTTCAATTGATTCAATGTGTGAGTGATCTGTGCGAATGATTCAGATGGAATCGCAAACTATTTCAAGACCATTTTCTAACCCACTTATCTGATTATTTAGAAGGAGCAAAGTCAAAAGAGGGATTCTTTAGTGAATCGGGCATCACTGGCAATATTTACTGTACGCAGAGAGGAAAAAATGTGTAACATTATAGACTCTGTCAACACTATCCTGCTGCCTAATACGTCAAATAACTCAAAAAACTAATAACAATATCAATAAGTTTAGTTAAACTACTTGCTGTGGGAAAAGTGTTTTAAAAGTATTATGAAACACATTAAATGTTTTTCTCTGATTTTCACAGGAATCATGGCTGGGTCGAACAGGTCTGGAGATCTTAGAGATCCTCAGAGGTCCATTCCCACTGGTACCATTATGGCTATTGCAACCACTTCTGTCATCTGTATCTTTTTCTGCAAAAAAATAAAAAATAAAGCCGCTAAGGAAAGAATATTAAGCAAGTCAGATGAATACCTTAATGATGCTAAACAGACATTTCCTGTGTGGTGTTATTTGGAGCATGTATTGATGGTGTTGTGCTGCGAGACAAGTAAGTGCTATGTAAGTTTTTTTGTAAGTGGTTTACAAAAATGCTTGCTAAATCAATTCAGATCAAATCTGCAGTCGCAGTTTTCACATGTAATATATTCTTCCTGTTTTAACGTGGTTTTGCATGCTTGCTTTCGTAATAGGTATGGAGAGTCAGTTAGAGGAACTCTAGTTGTTGCCACACTAGCTTGGCCATCTTCATGGGTGATTGTGATTGGCTCATTTTTCTCCTGTTGTGGGGCGGGGCTACAGAGCCTCACCGGTGCTCCCAGGATCCTACAGGCTATAGCTCGAGATGGCATCATGCCATTCTTACAGGTAACAACATGCCCTGGCTTCCCTTTGTGATCTTATATTAGGTAAAGTTACATTTACATGTCTTGAGGCACAAGTGTGCTTGAATTGTTCTCGCTCACAGAAAATTTATAGAAAGAAAGCACTTTTGTCTTGACTATGAAGCCTAACATGACGTACTTCTTACTGGTAGGTGTTTGGTCACAGTAGATCTAACGGTGAGCCAACCTGGGCCTTACTCCTAACTGCAGTGATCTGTGAGATTGGGATCCTCATTGGTTCCCTGGATAATGTTGCTCCCATCCTCTCAATGTGAGTGTGTTCCATTTGCTTTCACATCTTTTCTTTGTGACAAAACTAGACTCAGACGGAATCTTTTTTTTTTTCTTCTTCTTCTACTTTGTACTCATTTTGGGAGTAAAAGCTTGAAATTTAAATGAGACATTGACATATGACTTATGATGACGTTAAAATTTATGTTTTCATGAATATTATAAAAATGTGTATCAATGAAATTTTGTACTATAATTGTGCCTGCATTGTAAATGTGGTCATCACATGCAGTTCTGCTACTCCGTTTGTGAATTTTTGTGTTCAGTATCATTGAGATACTATTATAGTTTTAGTTAATAGTTTGAATTTAAATTATTATCTGTTTTATTATCATTTTTGATTTAGTAATTTTGTTGTTTGTCATTTTTAATAGGGTTTTTTAACAGGTCTATATAGTTTTTATTCTTTCTTTTTTGTCTTAGATTTTGTTACTGTAAATGTTTCCTTGGCTACTAGCTGAAATAAGTTTATTTTTATATTTTTATATTTTATTTCAATTAACAAAAATGTTTTTTATGGTTTTAACTTCAGTTAACTATAATAACTAGTACTAACTAGTACAATCAGTAGTCAATTCTCAGCCCCCCACACACAGGACTTCAAACCAACCACACCCACTACTAAAACTCCCATCTTCTCCTTCTGTCCCCTCACTGAGGCAGAAGTATCAAAACTTCTCCTCTCCAGCCATCCTACAACATGCCCTCTGGACCCAATCCCCTCACACCTTCTCCAAGCAATCTCTCCTACACTTTTACAACCACTCACACATATCATCAACACATCTCTCTTCACAGGCACTTTCCCCACTTTATTCAAGCAGGCTCGGGTAACCCCATTGCTCAAAAAACCTACATTAAACATTTCACTTACAGATAGCTACAGACCTGTCTCTCTCCTTCCATTCATAGCGAAAACCCTTGAATGAGTTGTTTTCAACCAGGTATCATTGTTTCTTTCACAGAACAACAAACTGGACGCTAACCAGTCAGGTTTCAGGAGTGGCCATTCAACTGAGACTGCGTTACTGTCAGTTACG